TGGAGCCTGTTGATTCATTATTCCACATGCTCAAAATCATGCTCACATTCTCGCTTGCACCATGTTTGTTCCACTACAAAGTCATTGATCTATGTCCAAATCCGCAATAAATCCCGTTCATGTTTTGGTGACATGTTAATATGGCCAGCTGAGTAATCTGTGATTTCCCACTGCCATGAAGAAAAATTTGAGGACAAACCCACCTCAGCTCCAGCTGACTTTGCCCGACAAGCCTCCAGGCTCACTGATTTGGAGGGAGGTAGGGACAATTTCTTGGAATGACTGTAGGAGATATGACAAACAAATGTCTTCAGCCGAATTACATATGGACTTGAAACCTATGTCATAATGTCATATCAGCTTCAGGGGCAAAAAACATCTTTCTGGGACGTTCTAAGCCTGTATATGGCTCTGATGTTCGAAGCGTGGAAGTTAGTGGCTTCTCCCCGGAAAAAGAAAAAAAAGATTTTCTAACTATCATTCCGTCACTATATACGGACCATGCAGCTGGACATACAGCATTGATGTTTGACAGTGAAATGATTGAGTTCAGAATATTGCTAAACTGCAGACAGTATACTCTAAACCAGCCTGTTGCTAGACTGATCCAAACTAATCCTTAATGATTACCCAATTTACGGATTAGCGGTTTAGGGCAAATTGAGGTAAGGCAGGAACTTACCAATATCTCACCACATTCCAGGCGTTCCCGTGTGCTCAGCTCGCAGCTCGCAGGAATGCCTTGACGCCGGCTTGCAGAAGGTCAGGAAATTTGATGAAATTTGTCCATCTTCAAAGTATTATTGGAACTCAATGAGTCATGAGTTCATTGCAGTAGGGTTGGCATTGTCATACAAATATGATCAAATATAATATATGCAAATAGCATAGGATTTTTCAATGACCTTGACATAGGTCCTTGAAGGGTTTTAAGGCCACAGGTTTGTCTTTGCCACGTGTGCTGCTGACTTCACCTCAAAAAAACGTGTGTTGTTCAGGTGGGTCGCAAAACGCGCGCGGCGAATTCAGGAGGTGCTAAAACTGGCAGATGTGACAGTGGTTGTAGATAGAAACGAAAGATGTGGAAATCATTTTTTCCTGGAGTTCCAAGCTGCATTGAAGAAGAGAATCCGAGAAATAATGTTGTGGGGTTGCTTTGTACATGCAGGCGTTTTCTCAAGCAATTTTGTTCGTGTTGGATTGAGGCTGGGGCATACAAAAAGCTGTGCGATGCAAGCAAGAATTTAGACAAGATTGGTAGTTTAGTACAACGGTGTGAGGATAAAACATCATAATACTAATGTGAATATACTGTATTAATTTCCTTTTGGTTGGAGAGGCACACAGGGCACACAGTGACTATAAAGCGATCATTCGTGGAACACTGTTCCTATTCATTGAGGCGCCTATTCGCACGGAGGCGCGCATGGCATTGGCCCGGAGCTTTGCTTTGGGTTTTAAGATGTTGCTTTGGACCGATGCAACCGATGCAAACTAAATGGATGTATTTGAAACTGGGATATACCGGTGTACCCCCCACATAGCTATTCTTTTCTCGGGAAAATGATGAAAATCGATGGGAATTAGGGGCAGCAAGTTTTCAGACAAAACCAAATGGCCTGTGAAACTGAAAAGTGAATAGACGATGGTTGAATTTGCATCAGGCAGATTGGGACAGGTTGAAAAAATAAATGGATTGGACAGGATCAGAAAAGTTGCTACCAGTTTGCAATTTGAGATCACGTTATGAAAGTGTTTTCCTGAGTTTGCACTTCAGCCGTTTGAGTTGCTTGCAAACACGTTTGCATCAACCTGGCTGGATCCTTTGGGCAGAACAAGCAGGCTGGAAGTTGAAAACTAAGGCTGGCCGCTTGACTCCTATGATTCCAAAAGGCTCAGAGCAGATATCGGCAAATATCTAAGGGTACAGTATGAAAAAGCTGTGTTGTGTGGGAATTCAATGTGGTCAGACTTCACCTAAAAGAATCTTGACTTTCAAGGATATCACAGATCCAGGAAACTTCAGAAAGACTTTGAGGTACTCGTTCACCACCACCTGTGACCACCTTTTCCCTGGTTTGCAGTACGTGGCTTGCAGCTTTGGACGCCATAAGCACTACTCACGAAGCTTCCTCACTTTCCGTTGAACTGAAGACGTCCCTCATTTTGGCAGGCCTAATACAAACATATAATATATATATATGTATATATATATGGGTATAGTATCGTTAAGAGCTTTTTGCAGTGTTTGAGAACTTATATAAATCATAGAAGTTGCGCACGTTTCATAGGAGTTGCGCACGTTCCATAGCAGTTGTGCACGTTTCATAGAAGTTGTGCACGTTTCATAGGAGTTGTGCACGTTTCACAAGCCCCCTAATAACGTTCGTGTTCAACTGCGGAATGGACTCAAAACCGAAGCTCTTAATGATACTATACCGATATATATATATATATATACTGTAGATATATATATATATAATACATATATATATATAATACATATATATATATAATACATATATATATATATATACTGTACATAAACAGAACAATTACTGAATCATATCCGCTTGCCACAGGCCCCAAGATACCCCAAGACTCCTGTTCCGACGCCAGATCGGAGTTACATTTGTGTGGATCTTCGGTGCCACACCAAGCAGATTTGTTGAGAGGGGAGATCTCAAGGAATTTGCTACACCAAAAATTTGATGTCCAAAACACACCTGCAGTATTCTGACCAGTACCACTCAATGTACATGTGTTGACTTCATACTTGAATGAGCAATGCTAGGTTTCTTGGTCGAAATTATTCTGATTTAATCTGTGAGTGTTTCCAGTAATATAGTTGTAGGATTTCTCTGAAACATTTCAATCGATGTAGCTATGACACGATAGTCCGTATTCAACGGTGTTCGAAATTACTATAGTCCTTTTCTATTCCTTTTCTGACTATCGAATTTCCTGACTATCAAACCTTTTCGGATTTTTCTCACAGGATAACTCAGCGATGTGGCCCAGCATGGCCCAGCATGGCCCAGCAGTTTCAGATCAGGCCAGCAACACAAAGTGCCAGAAACAGCACTAGGTCAGGAGCTGAGCAAAAATTGGCACCCAGGTGGTACACACCGTACACACCATGCTGCATCTTAATGACCTCAGACGTGACAGGTGAAACAGTGATAAGGTAACGAATAGAAAGAACTGGCATTACTAGTTCATCCTCCTTGACCACTACCACCGTCTCTACCACCTGTTGCCTAGAATATCCTATAGAACATTTTCTCAGGACCAAGAAGCAGTAGGACTGTGCCAAAGATTCAATCCGCAGCCAAAAATTGCAGGCGATTGGGCCTTGGCGCTGCTTGAAGCCCAGAGATTACGACTTGGAAGCCGCGCCAATGTCAATTGATTTGGATCAAAAATGAAGGTCCACAGATATCCACGGATGTTGGCAATCTTTAGGATTCATCCCGCCATTTTTGTTGTACTGTATATGCCATGATATTATACCCATTTCATCATTCAACACAGCAGTCCAAGCTCATAATTAATTGCTCTACGATTCCTGAATTCATGAAATAACTTCTCATCAGGGGCCTGTCTAAGTGCCGATTACCTAGCCACAGCTGCAACTTTTTTGCTTCAAATCCCCAACAAGCAGAAGCATCTTGTTTGCGTTTGTTCTTTGGAGATATAGATTGCTCTAGTAACTGGAGACAACTGGAGGCTTCAATGTCATTTGATACTCTGGTGTTTGGTGCAAAGTAAGATATATCTTTTAAATTCTTAAAAGGTTACAGCTACATAGATGTTGGATGTTGAATGATCTTCACCGGGCGATGTATCACTGCTTATCTCTGGTGATTCGTCGCGATTCTCGAGCAGCATCCCAAGGTGACGGCCACAGAGGTGCAGTTGAATCAGGCCATGGAAAATAAATACGGCTCCCATCACACCACGGCATCCCCCCACGCAAGCCCCCGGCGAGCCGACGAGCAAGGCAACGCACATCTACGGCAAACCCGTGTGGCACGAGTCCTTGAAGTGACCGCCGAATTCTTTAAAGATCTTTCAAGATTTTTCAAGAAAGACTAAAGCATAAAATGAAATGAGGATGAACATTTGGATGAAAATGAGAGATTGCTCAACGATAAAAATTTTGGTGAAGTCCCTCGACCTGTTCGGCCAACAAAAGTTGGCGCTTCGAACCAAAGAAATCGAGGGAGATGTCCAAAAGATTATGTTCGAGGGCCCATTTATCATGCGATTTTTGTCAAAAAAAACACCTTAGGATCGAATCCATGCTGCATTTCTGATGCATATCAGGGACCACTTCTGTTGTTTGATTGACAGAGGATTGATGGGACCTGCTCTAGAAAAGGTATGCCAGTTGATCAGCTCAGTGCACGTTTGCGCAAGATGCGCTTTGCGCCAGGAGCCATTGTTCGTTGCATGGAAAAAAAAGACATTGCCTTGTCCAGAAATGCCTTCCAATGGCACCCTTTGATGCGGACAATGATGATAAACCACTAGATTTGGGACTACCCTCTCTTGGGGTAAACTCGCAGTGATTGCACAAGTTGATCATTCCACACTGGTGTAAGAAATCCCCAAACTGGAGATGAACTGTTTTTTTCAAAGAATCCTTTGAAACAGCTGGCATCCACACTGTGCAACATCGCCACGTTGTTTATAGCGGCTTTCTGCAAAGGCACCAGTGGTTTGTTCTCAAGAAAATTCCAAAGGCAAGTGTTGGCAAAGAGGTCACCCTGCTCACCAGGTTGAGGGTTTGATTTTTCCGCCACACAGCCTTTTGCTTAAATATACATCAAAAGACAAACGAGAAAGAAATGGCGAACAACATTTTGAGAGGTCAAAACAAGCCTAAAGATGAGCTCCAGCGATGCAACACTGTCACTTTGCAAAATGTTCATGCAATCCATAGACATACTTACAAATGCTACCAATTTATGGGGGTAATCTATCTCAGCTGTGGTCTCAATGTGGCCCTTTCTTGCTGTGGAAGTTGCCAATCCACTGATCGCATGATTGTGTACTGCCACTGAAGCGATGAGCCAATGAATGGCAATGCTGCGCCACTCCGCTGAATTTTGGCGGATGCTCGTTATGTTTTGGGCATGTCTTGCAACTTATCATACTTAGTCTCAGCATCCTTTACCAGACACCAGACTTCCCGAAGAGGAAGAAGAAGACGAAGAGGAAGAATGGGAGAGAAGGAAAGCCTTGTCGTCCCAGATTCTTGATTTCTTGAACGGGTAAGAAATGTCTTGGATCATTTGGATCCTCCCTGATTCATTCCTTCATTCATTCTTTAGGGATTTCAGTGTCGGTGGGCTTCATGCCTCAGACATCCTCAGACCATCAGACCTTCACCAGGTACCCTGCCAAAAGTCGTGCAGTCAAAGCACCTGCAAGCGCCGCCCAGGACAGCCAGTTCCGGGGGTGGCGCAAGACTGCCATTTCATGCCATGTCTATGTATGTTTGTACATCTATGATCATCTATTTGTGTATGTTGTGTTGTTTTGTGTTGCGTTGTCAATCTACAGCAATTTCAAAGTTGCGGTTGAGTACTGAAATAAACCTTTAAGTATTGTCATCATACTCATCTCATTGTGGTGGGCACTTCTCGACTTTCCAAGGATGACATTCTCACAGAGTTGAGACTGAAGCCAGAGCTTTGCACCAAATGGAAGTATGGACGGCGTAGCAATGCCACACTCTCAGCAGATCATCTCTAAAAAGTATCTGGATGTAATATACAAGCTTCTACTGGGTGTTTCGCATATTCTGGATGATTGTGATCCCTATTCACCAAGTAAAGTCATGTAAAGATGGCGTTTGACCACCCTTGCTTTTTGGCCGAGACATGGATGCATTAGATGGCAGAGAATCGGAACAGATCATAGCTCACATGTTCTGCCTTGTTGCAGTACTGCAGGCGTACTACTCTAGTGTCAGAAATGCTCCATGCAAGCCACATCAGTCAGCATAGGAACATTATCAGAGAATATCAGAGAGACTTCACGATTTAACGGCATGGTTTTGGGCTGTTTCGGATGTTGGTTCCTCTCTAAAGTCCCTGAAACTTGGTGATTTCAGCCACAGATTGGGGCCCTCAGGTGCTTGCGAACGAAGCTGTGACCTTGGGGGGACATCCGCCAGCTTTGAATGGTGGCTTGAAGGTTGGCACCGCGTGGCCGGTGCTATGCAGAAAATCATCCAGGGCTGCGTTTTACACGCAATTACACGCAACTATTATGAATATACATATATATATATTATTTGATGATTTTGATGTAAACATAGTTTTACATGGATCCTTTTTTTTCAAGTCAAAACATTGCTACAAAAAGGCACATATGCCCTTGCAAAGCGGTTTCTTATGAGCCCTTGTTGGGTATGTTGGGGCACCTCCAGGCAGCTTTATGATTTTGTATGCAATCTTAGGGTTTCAACTCGTGCTTCAGATTTTGTAGAGATTTGTAGAGATTTTGGGGTGCCCAGATGTACCAAGATAGTATCCTGGGATTTCACCCCAGACTTCTCATTCCAAGGAATTGTTTTGATCACGAAAGCTAGCTTCTGCTTTAGCAAGGTATTGGGGGGAGGCTGGAATCTCCAATCGGATGAAACTTCATAATTACTTAACTCCCCGCGGCTGGCTGGTTCACAAGCAGTTTGGCTGTGGCTCAATCCCCCCCCCCGGGCATCCTCATTGTGTTTTCATGCCAAGCTCCCTGCCAAGCTAGCTTTCGTCCCTTACCCCTGGGCCCCAAGTTTTGTAGCAAAATTTGGTCCGGAATATGGATATTCACTGACACTGAATGATTGGTAGAGGCCAAACTTGGGTTTTGAAATTAATCAGAAAGCAGGTGCAGAGATATGGCGGCCTAGAGTTCATCAACAACTTTGACAGCGCCAATGGTGAGATCTTCCCTCACGGTGCGCTTGCGCGTGGCTGGGGCTGTCCAATGACCCCAGGAAAAAAGAGCCTGTACGGTTTCTGCCTCAGTTTGATTCAAAGAAAACATGTTAGGGGGATCGCTGTATAGTTTGAATTGTTGGAGCACTTTATTGCGGTCGACACTCTACAGCTACAGAATTCCCGACAAATAGATAAATAGAGATGGATAGATATAGATAGACATAAATAGACATAGATAGAGATAGATAGAGATGGATAGATATAGATAGAGATAGATAGAGATAGATAGAGATAGATAGAGATGGATAGATATAGATAGAGATAGATAGAGATAGATACATATAGATAGAGATAGATAGAGATAGATAGAGATGGATAGAGATGGATAGAGATGGATAGAGATGTATATAGATAGATCGAGATAGATAGAGATAGATAGATAGATAGACAGAGATAGATAGAGATAGATAGAGATAGATAGAGATAGATAGAGATAGATAGAGATAGATAGAGACAGATAGAGATAGATAGAGATAGATAGAGATAGATAGAGATAGATAGAGATAGATAGAGATAGATAGAGATAGATAGAGATAGATAGAGATAGATAGAGATAGATAGAGATAGATAGAGATAGATAGAGATAGATAGAGATAGATAGAGATAGATAGAGATAGATAGAGATAGATAGAGATAGATAGAGATAGATAGAGATAGATAGAGATAGATAGAGATAGATAGAGATAGATAGAGATAGAGATAGATAGAGATCGATAGAGATAGAGATAGATATAGATAGAGATGGATGGATAGAGATAGAGATAGATAGAGATCGATAGAGATAGAGATAGATATAGATAGAGATGGATGGATAGAGATAGAGATAGATAGAGATGGATAGATATAGATGGAGATAGATAAAGATAGATAGAGATGGATAGAGATGTATATAGATAGATAGAGATAGATAGAGATGGATAGATATAGATAGAGATAGATAGAGATGGATAGAGATCGATAGATATAGATAGAGATAGATAGAGATAGATAGAGATGGATAGAGATGGATAGAGATGTATAGAGATGGATCGAGATGGATAGAGATCGATAGAGATCGATAGAGATAGATAGAGATGGATAGATATGAATAGAGATGGATAGATATAGATAGACATAGATAGATAAATAGATATAGACATTGATAGATATTGATAGATAAAGATACAGTAGATCGCTGGATGGATGGATCGATAGTTCAAAAACAAACCAAGGCAAACAAGTGAACTTCACTTATCTTCACTGGAAAAGCCTTGCCAAAAGTATTTCACCTGACACCGAAGCTGAATGGATTTTCTTGCAGGACCAGACGCAGAGCGCTTCCACATTCTTTTAAGACCAGATCCTTCAGATGGTGCCTTGGATGGATGGTCGGTGTTGGAAGGAGAGCTGCGTGCGGCAGCACTGACTTTGTCTTGCTGAATACAACTCAACAATAAGAAGCATCATTGTCCTGCTAGTAGTAGGTTTTGGTAGGCTTTTGCTATCAAGTTTGATTCAGGGACCATTGGAGCATAGACTACTGGGAATAAGACCCCTATTAGTGATGCCAATCGCGCGACATTTTGGTTCATATTAGGTCTCCTGTGAGGATGTGCCAATGGTCAAACTCATCAAATTCAGCCACAACCACAACCACAACAACAATAACCGCCAACCTAAAAAAAATACGGTGTTTTTTTGGCTTTCCCGTCCGCCCCTTTATTATGTATAATATATTTGTGATCCTTTACCCTCAATTCTTCTTTACAATCTATGTATGATCCTTTCAAGGCGGTGGCGGAACTTTCAAAGATAGGAAACCTATAGGAGAGGTGAGTTGTTGCCATGCATGGATGTCAGAGCGAACACACTGATGGACCGAAAGGTGGTTGGAGTTGTGCTTTTTGGAGTGGTTGCAGTGGTCACCGGATGCACACCTGCTGGATGTAGTGTCGTAGCGTATTTGTAGTTGTTTGTAAAGTAGTGTAGTGTAGTTGGAGTTGGAGTTGTAGTTGTAGTGTAGTTGGAGTTGTAGTTGTAGCTGTAGTGTAGTTGTAGTGTACTGTAGTTGCAGGTGTAGTGGTAGTTTGTAGTGGTAGTGGCATTGGTAGTTGTAGTTGTAGTGTAGCGCAGCGCAGTGTATTGTAGTGTAGGTGTAGGCGCAGTGAAGTGAAGGGAAGTGAAGGGAAGTGAAGGGAAGCGTAGTCGTAGCCGTAGTTGTAGTTGCAGTTGGAGTGTAGTGTAATTAGCGTAGTGTAATTTGTAGTTAGTGAGTGTAATTTGTAGTTAGTGTAGTGTGATTCGTGTAGCCTGACAAGTGTAGCGTAGGTTAGTGTAGTTGTAGCTGTAGCTGTAGTTTGTAGTGTAGTCGCAGTTGTAGTTGTAGTGTATTTGTCGTTGTTGTTGCAGTGTCCTGTTGTTGCCGTTGTCGTTGCAGCTGCATTCGTAGTATTAGTGCTAGTGCTAGTGTTAGTGTTAGTGCTCACTTCTTCGACATCTGAACGTCTAAAAGTGGCCCGAGACCTTCAGCTTTTAACGTGCTTCGCGCCACAATAGGGTGCACTTTTTCGAGATCTGAACATCCAAAAGTGGTCCGAGACCGCGAGTTTTTCACACTTTTGACTTGCGAAACTGCTTCGCACCACAATAGGGTGCACTTTTTCGACATCTGAACGTCCAAAAGTGGTCCGAGACCGCCAGTTCCCAACACTTTTCACTTGCATTTTTTCCACATCTCAACTTCCAAAAGTTTTCCGAACACGGTGTGTCTTGTACGTTTTGACTTCCATATGTGTTTCGGGCATCTTCGCGCCACGACAGCGTGCGCCTTTTGCACATCTCAACGTCCAAAAGTGCTCCGAGCATGGTGGGCTTTGCGCATTTTGACTTGAAAATGTGCTTCGCACCACCACCGCGTGCACTTTTTGAGCATCTCTCATCTTCCAAAAGCGCTCCGAACTTGAGGTGCTTTTAACATTTTGACTTGGAAACATGCTTTGCGCCACAGCGGCGCGCATTTTTCCCACATCTCAACTTCCAAAAGTGCTCTGAAAATGATGCTTTGCACGTTTTGACTTCCAAATGTGCTTCGAGCGACAACGGCGTCGTGCACTTTTTCACCTCTCATCTCCCCAGATGGCTCCGCACCCACCGCTTTAGGGAGCCTACTTTTCGACCTTCCGGAGCCACAAAACATTGGAAAAATACAGTGTTTCGCGACTTTTCGACCTGTTCGCGGATTTTGATTTTCTTTCTTCTGACTCTTTCTCTTCTCTGATCTTCTTTCTTCTTCCCTTCTCTTCTCTGACTCTTCCCACCTCTGCTGCTTCATCTGTCCATATTGATATTGTCGGAAATTTGACTTCTGAATTTCTTTCCAACATGGCTTAATGCACACAAACTATCAAAAACTCACCAGCCATTTGTTGGCCCATTGGTTGCCCCAAATGACTTGAGCAAGATCAGCTCGTCAGGCGCTGAGTCCACGGGCCGTCGACGGTGGTTTCATTTTGGCGTTCGCTTGGGTGAGGGTCAAGTAGCTCCCGTGAAGGCACGCTTCGTGGCCGGGATGCCTGGTGGGTGAATGGGTGGATACGATAAGATGGGATGGGATGGGATTATGGACTACGCTACCCAAAACATCTCACAACTGTGGGATTGTGTGGTGTGATTGTCTAACAACAGTTGTAACCAGGGGTGCGATTATTCTTGCGGTGACAATGGCAGCAACCGATATCCAATAGTGATATTTTTCAGCCAAGAGTTAAAGATCCAACTGAGGTCAACAACCTGAGTCACTTCACTTGCATTTAGAGAGATGGGGAGAGGAAACTGCTGATGATCTGCAAATGTCACAAAATTGAGGAATCTAAAGTTGCATCTGAGAATTCAAACTGATACAACTGATAAATGCACAAGTCGTGTTTTTGTTGATTGACTTTGGTTCGTTTCTGTTTTTGTCCAAGGCAACATGTTGGACCTGTACAACTTGGATGGGCACCGTCCGTTCTGTTACCAAATGCCTGGCGCTGGCACCTGGCGGCGCTTGGCAGAGGATTGCAGCTTCGCGTGCCACGAGGAGAGCAGATGTTGGCACAGGATGTCGTGACATCGTGTTGGGAAACACAGATTTCCAGAGGAATTGAAAACACAATTTAGAGTGTTTTTATGTGGCGAAATTTCGACATTGTGATGAGTGATTCACAATCCATTTCAGGAGGCGATTAACATGCATATCAAATGTAGGTATGTGTCAGGTTAGCAAGATGTTGTATGATTAATTGTTTAATGCGCTGGATTGAAGAAGGCTTGGGATCGGGTTTTTTTCCATTGCAGGAGCAAGTGGACGAGAAGGGTGTGGAGGCCAGCAAGCTGATAGATTGTGCGTTTGGCGTTCGATCCAACTGCTGCCTGAAGTAGAGCTTCTGATTGCTTTTCTATTGGGTTCATGCCCATTTTCAGAGTAGCCGCTCCTCATTTGTCGTGCACCTGATGTGTATAATGTGTATAGCGGAGCAGAGTTGATTCAGTTCAACTAGCATCCGCATTTCATGAAACTGATGACATGTCATTTCCAGTTCCCACCACTTTTTCTTGATTTGGCCCATCCCTGGCCAGAGCCTTCGTCCACTCACTGGTTGCACTTGCCATAGGCATACTTGCCAGGACTCCAAAAAGAGCCCCTGCAGACTGAAGGATGAATGTTTGCTTCCTCGTGTGCGGCAACTTGTAGAAGGTGAGAAGAAGCGGACTCCCAGCAACAAATTGGATTCACAATTGGTCAACATGACAACATATGACAACTGAAGGCGAAGATCAGGAGTTCTTTTGTCATTTGGCACATGGGCGACGGTGGAGTCCTCGCCGTTTTGGGAGTGCCAGTCAACTTATCTTCGGAATCAGAACCTGTCCAGCTTGGGTCATGGGTAAACCATTCGAGGTTTCTTTCCATGCTGTGGAGTGAAGCTGTCTGACGCTCGTCCAAGGAAAAGCTTCTACATCGCTTGGGACTTTCAAGTCGAGCATGGCATCACAACTTACTTCGCCTTTTCGCCTCCGTTCCTTCGCAGTCAAAGACTTGCAATGTTTGATTCGGTTTGGGGTGTGCCCTCCTGTAATTTATCGTGGCCCATTCAGAGACGATTTGCCTATCAAAGATGGGGATTTTCCATAGCTATCTTAGATTACCAGAGGGTACTCGTAGCAGGTCTTTGCGAATATAGTGTCGTCAAAACCCTTTTGGGATCCGGGTCCATGACCAGTCCATGGACATGTCCAGGTACAACTATGCCAGCATGCAAGAGTACCTCAATCAGCTGGAACGGTTCTTCGAATCGAAGCACGAGGGCAACTTGTTTTGCAATTGGCTACTTGCAAGATTTTGCAAGTGCTGCAACGCATGCCAACCAAGTGTCCAACACCGAATTACATAGCATACTAATGCATATTATAGCATTCTATCGCGATAATCAAATAGTTGAGGATCGGATTGTCATGTTCCAAACTGTAGAGCATTAATCTGTCAAGACAGCATGGAACCAATTCCCTGGGAGGGTAACTAGCTCTCACCATCAAAGACACAACACACAAAAGATCACAAAAATCCACTGACATGCAACCCCTGAGTTTCACCATGTTTCACTGGTTTCACCCAAAAATACATCAATGATCATGCACTTATCAGAGCGCACGGTTTTCCAATTCTCTCCATTGAGCGATGCCAAAACCCCGATCAGCCGATGTTGATTTATTGGAGAGGCTTGTTAAATCTTGTTAAATCGTATCAATATGTTGTTCAATTCTATTTCAGTACCAGCATTGATACAGAGATGGATGATTTGTTTGTTCATTTTGTGCATTTTGTTCATCACCATTTGAATTCCACAAAGAATCCCGAACCAGCCATGGCACCATGGCACGGATGGCCGCCAAGGAGAGATCATCCCCAGCTACATGCCCCGCATCGAGCGGAACGGAGGCGGCTCTGGGACGCTCAGCCAACGGAGTGCCGCAACGAAACCTCCCAAGGTGTGGGTTTCGAGGAGTGGAAGATGAAGGGCCACTAGTTCCAACAAGAACGCCAATGTTGTATAACAACTAAAACAATGTAGAACATAAGTTGATACATACTATATGGGTATTGTAGCATTCAGTAAACGCCATAGCATTAAATATGTAAGATTTCTAGATGCTAGAAAACTTTCAATTTGAGTTGTTTCTTGGAGTCAACCAGGATTTTGCTCAAACTTTACTTTGCAAACTAGCAGAGGCCAAATAGAGCTAGCATGTCCGTGCAAATCTGCGGGAATTTAACGGTTCAAGTATATATGTGTACCCTGGACTGACAGTGTCAGCCATTCATGGGTGAAAAAAAACGGAAAACGTGCAGTGTGATACTGTCGTCCTTATGTTATTTTGACTCCCCTCCGCAAGTTTATGCATTGTTTTGATGGGTTTGAAGATTTTGAAGCCTGGATGATCTGGATGTTGTGCACCAGGTAAAGGTCACTGTTGAGCATGCTGCATGTGATCCTGTGAAGAAGATGTACATCTGGGTTCGAGACATGGCTGTGATTGGGGCCAAGTGTGACAGCGGGTTTGGGCGTGGAGGATTGTTGCTAATTGTCGGGAATGAATCAACAAAAACATACAAAAACAGATGAAGAAGTGGCGTGAGCAAGATTACAGTAGGACAAGGATACCAAAACCTGTTCAATCACTAAAACGAACCTGCAAAATCAATGATGGTTTCTGTCTTCCGAACCTCACAGATCTCACAGTCGAATGACTAGAGTCACTAGAGCTAGAGGCATATCGCCAGAATATGTTGACGAAATTACTCTTGAAGACCTTGTATGCTCTGCTGGATGTCCGTTAAAATGTCTGAGGAAAGGATGCGTCCATGCTACAAGTCAGGCAAGCAATTATGGAAGCGCTGGGATTGAAGAAACTCTCTTTGGTTCGATTGGTGAAGCGTATGGGTTCAGACAAGCGCCTGATGACGTCTATGGGAGATTCAGAACGACTGAGTCAGAAAAGTTCCCTGTCATGCATTTGATCTAGACACGGGGTGGTAGGGATTGTTCTGTGCTCCTTTTGACTCTAGCTAAATGATGCTAAATGTATAACAAGAGTTTGGGGGTGCCCTGCTATGCCCTGCTTGCCCATTGCTTTTTGGCAGAATCCTGGCTCTCGTGATCCCACTAAGTGACAATAATACATCCACCAGCTTCAAGCTGGAAGTGTTCCTAGCGCAGCAAAGGTCATGTCCTGATGATGGGCTATGACTTCCCAGATGGTTTTTCTGGTCCAGAACCTCAAGCTGAAGAGCCACGAAAGGAGGAAGCATTGCATCCCGGACTTAACTGGTCATGATAAAAGACGTCTTTGCTGGGAGATGTAATTGAGAAATATCGAAAATGAATTATATAGAGAATTAGATTTAGATTCTTTTTAAGGATCATTTGAAAATTATACGTTATATTGGTTTAAGAGAGTCAGCCACAACGGCACCAATTCAGCGCGTCCAGTTGAGCTTCAGTGCCTCAGGCCACTGGCACAAGGCGGCGAGTCGCATCAGTGGGAGCCTTGTTGTGGAGAGAATGTGTACTTCCACCGTCAACGACTCTGTTTGAGCAAGGAGACCCTGGATGAAAACTGTTGGCGAATTCAGACAGGTTGCATAACGTTTTCAGGATTTGATGGCAAGGATTTGATGGCAAATTGGACCTGTGTTTTAGAGGTGAGCAGAGTCAAAGAGGAATAGGACAAGAGTATGCAGTATACCAGAGTCATATTTTCACATAGAGTCATGCGGGTGTTGCTTCTTGGATTCTCTTCAAAAGCTACAGCACTGCGGAGCCTTTTTCCACTGCATTTCTTGCAGTGGGGATGATGACTTAGTGACAAAATTCTTGCCACATCTCGCAGGAAGGGCGGCGCATTGACCTTTTGACGCTCTCAGAAGATCTTCGCGACCCCACGGCGAAACAAGTGGTGGAGGCGCCACCAGAAGGCCTGATAGCACCACACAGCGTTGACACTTTTCGGTGGCTGCACAACCAGCTGAAAGTAGATTTGCTCTGGGCATGTTTGTTCCAAATCTTGTGCTGCAACTTTTTTGACATGTACTTGCCGTTACTTGCCATTGAGCAGAGCCTAGAAACATCTAAAAAGACTCTAGCTGTTTGGATCTGTTTGGTCACTGAGAGGCTTTCGCACCTGCTCTGTTTCGGTGGATGGTGACACCCCAGCTCGGCACTTTGCTCGTCCGATCATTTTTGTCTCTGCAAGAGTCCACCCTGGAGAGACACCAGGCGCCGAGAGAGTGGCATCTGTATTACTTTGTGAATGTACACATTGATAGTATATACATATATGTTAAAATACACTAAATAATATATATATATTAATATTAATATTAATATGTTTTATATAAAAGCATACATAAGCTATATATACTATATGCTTTTATGTTGTATTATAATCATGACGGGATACATAGAATACAGAATCAATAATTTCGGCCTCAAAAAGCATCTTCCGGAATCGGTAAAAAAAACTATACATAGAATAAAAGCATCTTTGGGATTCGAAAATTTAAAATTTAAAAAACTATACATAGAATATTTCAGGCTATCCATTTTGATGCAGGAAAATAACATTTCTCAGGTTTTTGACATAAATATTGCCAACACCATTGCGTAGATAGGCCTAGTTGCAATCTGAATATATTTTTACAACATTGCTTGTCTACATGGAATGCGAACCTGAGATGGAAATATCAAAGCCTATCCCAGGTTGAGAACAACATGTGTTTTGCCATGTTTTAACAATTTTTAACACAACACTACACTAAGATAGAAACTGCTCAATTGGTAAGTCCCCTGTGTGTGCATAATCCTGGTCCAAATTTATTGAAGTATTGTTCTTTTGCAGGTGCCCGCTTGCGTTCTTTCCTTTCCTTTGTTTGTGTTGCCACCAGTTATCAGCTGTAGAAACCCATACATAGAATATGGATGAACATCATACATTTGTCAATACAATGATTGCCTTAGATTTGGCAACTCATGGGGGGACCCTTTTGTGAACTTCAAATTGCATTCTTTTAATGTAAAGTGTAGTCAAAAACTGGTCAATTTGGGACACCCATTTCCTTTTCACAGTTCTGATCCAAAAGTTCTTGACGCGTGTTTTTTTTATTTTGGTGGGGTGTTCGCTTGTATTCTCTTCTCTTCCTACCCTTTCTTTTCTTTTTTTCTTTGATGCTGCCATCAGCTATCAGCTGCAGAAACCCAAACATAGAATATGGATAAACATCATACATTTGTCAATACAATGATTGCCTTAGATTTGGCAACTCGTGGGGGGATGCTGCGGATGCTTGTTGTTCAAAAGTTGTCAAAATCTGGTCAATTTGCGAAATCCATTTCTTTCCTCAATCCTGATCCAAAAGTTACCCAAAACCAAAAAAATGTCCAATCTGTTGGGTTTCACACATGTTTTCGATATGGAAACATCGTTATTCCTATGGTATTTGCTTTGGCCCTGTTTATGCACTCCAAAATTCTACCCCAAATATTCTAAGTTTCTTGTTTTCTGTCCACACTCGAAGGGTTGAAAAAGTGCATATTCAATGTAGTCGATCATGATTATATATATATACACTATATAATGATTATATACTTATATTATATTATATATATTATAACATATATATTGTTTTTATATTATATTATATATAGTTATATTATATTTTATTATATTATATTATATTATATTATATTATATTTTATTATATTTTATATTTTGCTATATATTATATAGTTTTTACTTATTATATTATATTATATTATTTTTTATTTTATTATATTATATTATATTATATTATTTGTTTATTATATTATATTATATTATATCATATTATATTATATTATATTATTATGTAGATTATATTATATATTATATTTAGAGATTATACATTATATATATATGGTCCCGTCCTCCGTCTCTCCACCCCCCACCCCCCCCCATGGGTTGGGTCCCCAGGTAGTAGCCCCAATTCCCTTCTATTTGCAAGCTATTGGCAGCATTTCTGAGGTCCAGCGTCGTATTTGCTAGGTCTTTGCAGCATTTCTGACTACCAGCCTCGCATTTACTAGGTACATGCTACCTTTTAGGCGACCTACGTAGCACACATACTCCTTCAAAGTACCTACGTGCTACCTATAGTCATACATACATGTGCTATGTATCTACTGTATCTACTTCCTGTTTACTACCTGTGTACTCTGACAACACTACCTCTGTTGAACATATACCGTACCTACCATACATGTCAATGATGCCATGCATACCATACCTATCATATCTATCATACATACCATACATACCATACATATGAAATGTAATTACCACACCTACCATACATACAATAGCATACATACAATAGCAAGCATACATGCCATACATACCATACCTACCTTAGATAGGACATATTCCATACCCATCATAGTAACCATACATACCATACAGACCATACATACTGTCATATCAAACATACCATATCCAACAGACTTACATACCATACCTACCATCCATACAATACCAACCACTCATGCCATACATACCATACCTACCATACATACCAAACATACCATACTTTCCAAACATGCCATACCAGACCGACCATACACACCATACATACCCACCATACCATACCACACCCCCACCACACCACAGGGGGGGGAGGGGGACAGTGCCACACCCCCACCACACCACAGGGGGGGGAGGGGGAAGATCTCATATGGGACCAGTATATGGGACCCATCCACCACACCACAGGGGGGGGAGGGGGACAGTGCCACACCCCCACCACACCACAGGGGGGGAGGGGGAAGATCTCATATGGGACCAGTATATGGGACCCATCCACCACACCACAGGGGGGGGAGGGGGACAGTGCCACACCCCCACCACACCACAGGGGGGGAGGGGGAAGATCTCATATGGGACCAGTATATGGGACCCATCCCATATGGGGGGGGGGGGGAGGGGGGGGGTGGCAGGGCCTGGTGCATATATTCTAATATATAGATATCCTTCACCATCCATTGCTATATAAATATGCGCTCGAGAATAAATATGCTGGTTTGAAGAAATATCTCTGTTTTGAGTTGCCCCAAAATAAATGCAACGAATAGACACCCTATGACCTCCTCACAGTTATAAAAGCTGAAAAATACACTTTTTGAGATTGCGCTCGTTTACGCATAATTGCGCGTAATTGCGCTCGTTGGTGCGGTTTGTTTTTACCTAGCTCCGATATATCAAGGTATCTTCTAAAATTGTGAAATAGTGCGCGAATTGAAAATGCGCTCGTTTGAACAAAAGCAGCTCGAATCATCGGAAAACGCTCGTTTGGTCCAAAGCATAAATGGAGCAAATATAAATGTAGCGTTGGAAGATGGAGGATATTATACTATTTGCTAGATTTGCATGCCATCATCAAGGGAACTGAAGCCAGGTCAGTTCGCCTTTCTGGGTTTCTTGCGTTTCCTGATTAGCGATGATCCTCGTGCAGCTCTTTTACGTCAGCAGTTTGTCTTCAAGATGGTTCCTATGCTGAATCCCGATGGAGTTGCCAGGTGCTCCCAGGGCTCCCAGGGCGATTTGACGATGTTTGATGTTTGATGTTGGAGGTGTGTTCTTATGTTTTCTTTGCACAGTGTGATGCATGCAGAGCTACATGGGCCTGATCCACTTTCAATCTTGGCTTGCGAAATACGTTTACGCGGCTTGCATTCAAAAACAGCTGGGAAAATGTAGACCATTTGAACAGATCTTTGAATTTACTTCATGTTGAACGAATGTTCATTTCATGTTGAAAGGACTTCCACTGATCTTTAATCCATTTGATTCCATTTGTCCACATGTTTTTTCCTCCATTGTTTTCATCGTGCAGGGGCCACACTCGAGCCAACATCGGCGGCTTGGACCTCAACCGATGCTATGGAGATGCCAATCCAGGAGAGCATGAAGGACAGCCATGGCCATGGGTCTGGGTCAAAAATTGGGTGCCCCAAAATGGTTAAGATGGGATACTGGATACTAGAAAATCTAGAACATGACCAAACTCCCTGGTTTTTCAGGGTCTTAAATTTTGATCCATATGAGTCATACCCATAGTCATGTGAGCCCAGCTTCGGCTTGCACATTGCCGTGTGGTTTGATTTCATTTTTGGATTCATCTATTTCCAAAAAGTCTCCATGTCAAAGCCAAAGGCCAAAGTCAAACCTTTCCATTCTATGTATGTTCTATGCTGCTGCTGAGAATAGTTTGTTTTATATTTATGAGTTCCCAAATATCCCAGATCCTTCAAGTCGTTGCAAAGTCGTTGCATGTCTCTGTGGTGCCAGGTGTGTTTTGGGTTCTGGAATGGTTGAAGCATTGGACTCAGCAAGGTGCCGTGTTGTGGTGAATTGACAGCACATTTCATGTCCGACACTAAGAGAGGCATATGAAAGCTTGCAGCATGAAAGCATCGTTGATCCGTGGCAGCATGAAAGCTTGCAGCATCTTTCAAAGCTCAGGTCTGAACCCGTTTGTTGATGAAAATAATCACACTGTGGCTGGCAGCTGAACCATTGTCATCGTCCTCCCAAGTCATCAGTGGCAGGCGAGCTGCTCTTCTACTTGGACATGCACGCACATGCCCACACACGTGGCTGTGTGCTCTATGGCAATCGACTTCCATCCACGCTGTCGCAGGCATGTCGGGGTGCAGACCTTGGGAGTCGACACTCGCACAGACGACCTTGGCAGGTTTGGAACGTGGCCTTCGCCAAATTCTGCGAGCTGAACGGTCCGCATTTCGACTTCCAAGGCTGTGAGTTCCCTCCCAATGCAGAGAAGGACTCGACGGACTCGGCGCTACATGACGCTACAAAGGTTCCGGTAAAAGGGGTGTTCAGAAATGGTCCAAATATATCCAATATTATATTCCATATAGTTACAAGATGTTACAAGAATGACCAACACCAGTTGCAATTCAGAATTCAAATCTTGCAGTGAATGAAGGCAGTGGTAGTGACCAGTGGCTAGCGATGGCAGGAGACGGAGAGCTGTGGGCGCGCCTGTGTGGCAGCCCTTTGCCGCCTCAGCAGCGCGGCAAAAATGTGGCGCTTTATCATCAGATTCTCAAAGATTCTTCCATCATCTTCCATCGCTATATTAGATCATCATCACAATATAGATATGTGATGATGTGTAATTATAATGCAATATATATATATATATACGCGAGGGGACTGAGGTTCTCCGATGCCATCAGCTGTGTTTGAGTGTCAACATGTAAAAAAACAGCTGGCGCCTAGGTAATTTGCCAATTTTTCAATAGTGGCAACGTCCTTTTCAGCATCATGTTGAACGGATCAATTTTTTTTCGTCCGTTTTAAAGCAGAATCATCTTGTGCCATAAATCATGTTCTCAGAAGTCAGAAATCGCATATTTTGGTGTAAAACTGTGAATTTTCATCGTATAGTCATGGCGTGGTCATGTAAAATTGAGCAAATGTACTGTGTTTTCTCAGGCATTTTGCGTCATGCTACTTTTGCACTGTTATTTGCAATGAATTGGCAATGTGTAGAAAATTGCAAGTGCTGACAGTCAGGCGATTTTTGTGTTTTCATTCTATATAGTACACTGAACACTGAATGCCCCAGTCACCCCACCCCTCCCATCAACGTAGCATCAACGTAACATGAACATGACGGTAACATGCCCCACCCCACCCCACCCCTCCCATCAACGTAGCATCAACGTAACATGAACATGACGGTAACATGCCCCACCCCACCCCACCCCTCCCATCAACGTAGCATCAACGTAACATCAACATGATGAACATGCCACCCCACCCCTGCCCCACCCCACCCCACGTAGCATCAACGTAACATGAACATGACGTAACATCACCCCACCCCACCCATCAACGTAGCATCAACGTACCATGAACATGACGTTAACATGCCCCACCCCACCCCTCCCATCAACGTAGCATCAACGTAATAACGTGAACATGACGTAACATGCCCCACCCCACCCCACCCCTCCCATCAACGTAGCATCAACGTAACATGAACATGACGTTAACATGCCCCACGGTAACTTGAACCCCCACCCAACGTACCATCCGTCCATCAACGTATCACAACATGAACATGACGGTAACATGCCCCACCCCACCCCACCCCGCCCCATCAACGTTACCCCAAGAACCCCTGAAACGTAACATGACGGTAACATGCCCCACCCCACCCCACCCCTCCCATCAACGTAGCATCAACGTAACATGAACATGACGGTAACATGCCCCACCCCACCCCACCCCACCGCTTCTCCATCGGAGAACCCCAGGCCCCTCGGGTATATATATATATATATTAATTTCAGATTAGTGTAGTAGCACAATTACCTCTTCACTGCTAAAGATGTTTGTGATGAATTTGTTGAAGCGACCAACCGAAGTGATGCTTGGTGCGATGTTGGTCTGGCATCTTGTAACATCTTGTGACATCAATCGAATCAAGATGAATATGTTTTGCGGCGTCAAACTCTCTTCTGTTAGGTCACGCCTACACGTTTCTTGGTGGCATTTGCAAATTTTGACCTGCACCAACCTGCATCATGTTGGGGGATCTTGATCTTTTACCAGTGGACCACATTTGGCCGTATGGGTCCTACCTTGATTGGTAGCTGGTCGTTGTTCGTTTTTCGTTGAAAGCTTTTCCCCAACAGATGTACCAGGACAAACTGATTTCTGGCGGAACTACAACTCGCGAGAGCTGCAACCAGCACACTAAGACCCTCCTTTTTTTTTGCAACGCTGTCACCAATGAACCGGTCGAAATCTGGCGAATGTGCATATCAGAAGTCTACTACGCAGTATATGCGCACAAGGGGACTGAGTCCCGAAAATCCACTGACAATTTGGAAGATTCTGATGATTTCTGATGCATAGTTCGCATGCGCACTGTGCAATCAGCAGAGGTTGGAGTGCCACTACAGCATCGGCCGCCAGGTGCAGTGCAGCCATTGAAAGATATTGAAAGCTATGAAAAGCTGGTGGGGAAATTTAGAACCATGGGATGCCATAGGGATCATAGGGATCATAAGGACATATGTAGAATCATGTAGGGACCATGGGGGGCAACATGTTATTGCATCGGCTCTTTGAGGTTGAATGTCCAGCCATTTTTCCAGGCTCACCCTCTAGAAGATCCAGTGGGCTTGGATGAACGATGTGTCCATCCAGGTATGAATGTACCGTAGCCTGGCAGCAAAGAGGCATATCCGGCATATCCGACATAGCCCTGCCCCGAGTTGTTGTTGTCCAATTCCTCCATTTCCCTGCAGATGGTCTTGAAGATCATGTGTTTACTGATTTGCGTTCGAAAGTGATTGGATTGCGCAAAGACGGAACGGGAACACGGGAACACGCATGTTCATTGCAGCGTTGAAATGGTAGTCGGCGTTGGCCCTGAACATGGTCGGATTGAGACATAGATTCACCACTAGCGGATTGGATGCAGTGCTGAGGATGCTATGTCAGGCAGGACTGCAGGGGGACTCTTCTCACATTTGGGGGCCTTCATAGTGTACAAAAGGAACAAAAGGATAGAGCTGCCAATCTAAAAACAGGCTTTGGTGGAACATTTTGATCACCTTGCTTGCAAACTGTTGCAAACATCAGAATGCTCTTTGTGGAAGTAGCATGATGTAACCAATTTACCAGATGATGATTGTTCAGCAGATTTGATTTCCACCCTCCATTTGAGCAACGCACTGCGTTGACTTTGAATTGCACGTCCCATCACACAGATGTCGATACATTTCATGGTTTTGTTGTGTCCTGCACCAGTTTGACGGGCTCTCAAACAGACATGGCAAAAGATGACCGTTTAATCATGTTTAATCGATATTATAGTGCTGCGAACAAAGCTAGCTGTGTGTTTGTCAGGTTCCTTATGGGATCTACGAATGGGAAAGCATGGGAGAAGTACTTCGGCCGCAGTCCATCAAGAGCAACTGCTTGCTGCTCCGATCTGTGCAGCAACTTTCCTTCAACTTTCCGAAATCAAGTAGGAAGTAGTCAGTCCAATTAGATGCCATTAAATTATATTAAATTGTCACTGGGTATCCTTTGCGTCAGATAATATGAAATCTTGTCTATTCTCACTGCTGATGCTTCTTTTAAGCGGGTCTGACTTGATAGAAAGAGTCATGTTCTGGACTGTAGCAATGATTTTTCTGGCAGACAAGATGGTAAGCGTTTCGTCTCTTTTTGTCAATAGAGACCATGCAGATACAAGCCAAGGGAAACAACGGATTAAATAGTGGAACTATATATATAGAAAATTATAGAAATATAATGAAATAAATATAATGAAATAAGATGAAATATATGGCTAGTTCTGTCGTTTATCCAGCTGGTAGATTGGGCCACGATGGCCAGGCCCTAGCAGTATCAATTTTGGACCTTCACGGTATCAACAGCTTCAGCCGACCATCAGCGAAGATGATACTTCACCAGGAGCCAATGCGCCGATGCATTCTTTGTTGTTTCTTGTATTGAATCTGATTACTGGCCATGAATTTTACTACTAGTATGCTATTCGAATGTGATTGGTGATTGCTGATCTACTGTATTCATGTGGTTGAAGCGAACTGACCTGCCATTTGTCGACCACGTCCGAAGCTTTGCATGTTTTGCTACCTGGACATGACTCGCCTTCAGATAGACTTTGACAATCCTGAACATCAACTCACGCAGGTCTCTGAAAGTTTAAGTCCAGGGAAAAGTCCTGAAGAGCTTGAAAAAGCTGACCCAAAGCAGGCCCAGAGCCACGGTCGACAGAAAAACCATGAGCGCTTTCTCATCTTCTAGGTAAGTGGGTGGCTCTCACCTAGACTTGCTCTGAACTGTTTGCGTTTATTTCTGTTTATATGCTGAATACCATTGTTCAAATTACCATTTTATGATGTTGCGCGCTTGAGTGCTTCATGATCTGCAAACGGTCCCCTAGTCAACGCTATCCAGATCTCTGTAGATTTCAATCCTTAGATATCACACAGGTCTCAGACGAAAAATACATTTCCCCCGGCCCCGGTATGCCTCGCATGCAGCATGAGGCACTAAAAAGACCGGACGAGGACGGGCATTGGAATCATTTGAGAAGCTATGAGAAAAGCTACCTTTCAGACAGGAGGTAAGCACGTCCGCAGCCGGTCTCATGTCGAAGTCTTTCTGGTCAAATCTACATGCACTGCATAGCGTAATTATATAATATTGTACTAATATTATATACATAATATATATATATATACATAATATATATATACATAATATATATATATATACATATATATATATATACATAATATATATTTATACATATATTATATATATATATACATAGTTAGATCCACGTTCGCAGTGTTTTTTAGGAATTCCATTCCCATCTTTCCCTTCGCACTTGGGTCTCAAAATAATGAAATGTCGTGCCGATCCATCCAGGTCCCACAGTTTACTGAGTGAGATCAGACTTGCAGTTCCAAAGCTTTAGAGGACTCGGGCAATTTTCACGATTTTCAGCTCTGGCGTGTCATGCACACCATGGTGGTGGCTCGGGAGAACCCCAACCTAGAGGCTCAGGTGCTGGAGGCGACTCTGCTGGGAACCAGATGAATGATGAATGGACGTATAGGCCCAGGATTTGGTTTGAAACCCCTATCCGATGCGATCAGAATTGAGTTGGTGCGTCAGCACCATCACAAATCAACCTTTGCACATCACTTTCCTTCCTGCAAGTTGCCTTTGGTATATAATTTTGCTCAAAGTTACGTAGCTTTCACTTGTTGTTCGAGCGCTGTGAACTCTGGTGCCACCAAGAAAGCCAAAGTCCGCGTAGTGGTCTCGGGATACCAGCACCCTTCAGTGTGTTTTTTTCCTTGCTAGCTGCTAGTATGTGAGTTGTTGAGGTGTTTGGTAAAGGCCAGCTTCTGGCTGTGGCGGAAGAGGTGGGTTCTGATAGATGTCATGAGAGTTATTTGCGACATTTTGTGACCCAATCAACAGATGTCATGTCCGCCATGCTAGCAGTACAATGCTCAACCCTGCTGAACCCCTCCCGTGATCCCCGCAGATGGGCAACTGGGTGCGCCTTCATGCACCAAGTGGTTGTTTGGGAGGAAAGCTAAATACTGACCTGGACCAAGCTTCTCGGTCGGATTTTGGCAAGTCAAGGATGAATCAATTGATGTGTTTTTTCTTCTCTGAGTCAGTCGGCTTCAGCACAATCCGTTTGTGCTGCAAGTGTGTGTGTGTGTTCGCTGATGCCACGATTATTTGAAGCCTAAGGTTCGCCGACCCTGTGCCTACATGTTGATAGATGGCTCAGCTGCTTGCAGAGGAAACCAATGGTCTTGGAGTCTTGGGGGTCGATGATTGATGTGGCCATGATTTTGTAGGGCTTGTCACTGCGATTTGTAGATATTTCTAGTATTTTGTAGTGCTGCAGACAAGATTTTGGTGGTAAAGCACGTGGACACACGCCAGATCACGCCAGCTATTCCTATTTTGATGTCATATTGATGTCTATTGTACATATTTACATATATTTACAAGGATTTGATCTTTGGCTGCAAGGCAAATAATATATGAGTTGAAAAAAGAAGCAACATTTATAGTGTAGACATGGCAACTCTCAGTACGGACAAGAAGTGTGTTGGAACAGAGCACACTCACCAGCAATGCCAAGGCCAAGGGCTTGGGTCAGTTGCTGCAGAAGACGGATTTCGTCATGCGTTTGCCTGACACGGAGAACGGAGAAATGGAGCTGCCGGTGGATGAAATCTGTAGAAATGTCATGAAATTGGCATGAGATTGACTTTTGCTATGAATAGTATGGTTAAACGAGCTTTCAGAAGGTTCGCGTGTGCAGTTTGGGAATGCTCGCATCGGCCTGCAGCCATTTCTTGGCCAGCTTGATGAACATAGTCGAAATCAGCCGGAAGGTTTGAACAGCTTTGCCAACTAAGTGTAAGGTCTTGGAATGTTTTACTAACACTCTCAATCTAAGAGAGATAAAGAGTTAATTCTGTAGGGCCAGTTGTTCTAGAACAAGGCAGATTTTGATGACTCCATGATTATCAAAACAGACACAAGGACAGCAACGAGCAACAAAGGACAGCCTTAGATGATGGCTGCGTCGCCATGTCTGCGGAAGATTTGTACCCTGAGGCAGGGGTACAATCCATTCAAATCCTGATAGATCTGATAGGGGATCAAACCAGAAGCCACTCAGCAGATTTCCAGTGGCATAAAAAAACACTGAAGAATCAAGAATGGCGACTCAAGATGTGCTTTATTGATTGACAATCATTTCCAGCGCTGTTTGAATAGGTCCATGTTGGCATTTTGCACATCCAGTCCCACCAGTCCCACACTATTCTGCCATCACCTACTCATGATTCAGAAACCCATTTGGGTGTTCTTTGTCGAGACTGTAAAAAAAGATGATCAAAGATTTGAAAAAATCTTGGGAGAATCCAGCATCAAATAGCATCAATCCAGCTTGGACCTCATTTTTCAGACAGATTCATCGGCAGATTCATCTACCTCACAGCGCCATACAGCGCCTCTGTGCGTCAGATCCCTGCAGGGGTCATGAAGATCGAGTCTGGCATTTGGCATGGAGGCCATCATCAAGGCAAATCTGTGGATCAGAGGAGACCATTCTATGGATTAAAAACTCCCCCAAATTAAAAAAAATGGGAATGGATTAAACAATAGGAATGGATTATCAATTTTTTGTTTTTTTTGGTGGGTTACAATTGTGTTCTTAATTGTGGTAATCGAAATTTTAAAATCAATAGGAGAACAGGATGGTGAAATAATGGGTTCAACCCCCTATTGTCCTATTGTTATATAAAAATAGAATGGTACCTGGAGGTTTTTTATTTGGGTCACATCTCACAAGTTTTATTGTTTACTTTATTATTAAGGTGTTCATTGGAATATTAGGGGCACCCAAATACAAAATACCCCTTAATAACAAAAATAGATCACCGTGTTTACCATTTGGGGGGTTGTTTAGTATTAGGGTGCAGAGATTACTCAAGTTATGGCACCTTTCATGTCTGAAAATGGGAGGTTTTACCATGAAAAATGCTGATATACTGGGGATATCATATAGCCAACATATCATATCATGTGATATCATGTGGGTGTGTCTGAAAAGTTCAGATACTCCCACAATTGCCATTCAAGAAGAGGGAAAATCATGATTGACCAGATTTGACCAGTAGATTTTTGATGATTTTTGGGGTAACTTATTTTCTGACAAACCCATGTATTCTAACGGGGACATGATGATGAACCATGATAAATCATGGGATTTCGGGGATACCCCTCGATACCCTATTCTTGGACAAATCCTAAATGTCCTAAATAGCCACAAACTGGAGATGTGTGTTTTCCCGACAAGTTGTCTATGAACAATCCACTTTGTACAAGTCTGCTGGTTTGGCAAAAACCTGCCTGAAAAGCATATTTCACTAGAACACCGTTGGAGATTATCGGTTGCGCCTTGCCGATGTATCAACAAGGTTTCTCTCAGCTTGTACCCCTTTCAAAGCGCATGATTTTTCCACAGCCAGGCATGTTTAGTGAAGAAAAAGATGGGAACGCACTGAACAGATTTTGCCCGAGGGCGACTTTTACTTAACTACAGTATGGCTCGTTAAGTTCGTCAGAACGAGGCATTTCCCTAAGGTGTTTCAAAAAAATCGTGTGGCAAACAAGACACAGCCCCGCCATTCAGGCCGATCCTCGCCTCTACAGGCCGGAACCTCAATGCATCTTGTACTGCGGTGATTATGTGGAAGGCTTCTCCTTGCATTGTACATTCTTCGAAGAGCGCAAGATATCTAAAGATTACGCACTCAGTGTTGTTGAGGCCTGTCTCACTCAAGCATAGTCAATGAACATGTTCATGGTGTTTCTCAACAGTGCGGTTTGCTAGAATTCTCAGAGATGTAGCAAATTCAGAAGTTGCCATGTTTGATCTTGGAAATCAAACCCTGACGCCCATTCTTCAGAGCTCTTGCATTGACAGGTGCAGATCTGACCATCCGACTTTGGGGCATTGATCCCAAAAAGCCTGCCTTAAACTTAGCCAGTGCCCACGGACTGCACCAATAGGATCGCGTTCCGGACAGCATGTCTCAGGTGGATCAGTGATGTAGCATGGTGCAGTTTCCAAGAGCCCATTGCCAATCCCAATTGGGTCTTCCAATATGGGTTTGTCTGAAAATATAATACCCTTAGATCTACTGGGTGGTTAATGGTGGTTATATATTATGATTATCATTTTCCGTATTATATCTTGTCCGTTTGGGAATATCCCGCATTTTCAGACAATCCCAGCTTGTCCAGTTGTCCTGTAGTCTAAGGATTGGCATCTTCTAGAAGAGGTAGATACCTCCGATCACCACGGTCGCACCTTGCGAGCCCTTGCGGTGCCCAGCGGCTCGCTTGCTGAAAACAACAGCAGTGGAGCAGATCATCCCTAGGATGTTGACTAGTGTAAAGGGGTGCAAGCGGTTCATAGAAGCGTCTATGTGGAGGCTGTGTTGATCCATCTTGAATGCATGAAAGCAATATAAAACAATCATGTTCATTCATGTTCAGTATGTGAAAGAGAGTGTTCCACTGGTTGCTACGTTGCGTCATAAAGCTCGCGTGCCAGTGGGATCCCAATGGAGTCAAGTTAGCTGTGGCCAGCTTTGATGCTGCTTGGATGAATTTGAACTCGGTGAAAAAGGACCCAAGAATAGGGTAGGCTGGATCCAAAAACGGGTTAAGTGAGATGAATTGAAGTTCGATATTTGCTTTTACTTCTGTATAGATATTGTGCAATTTTACCCAGCAACCACCTCAGCCTCAGAAGGAACAACTAGCCAAGAAGGTCACAGAGCAAGATCAAGCTGGTGGCACTTCATCATACCTTGTGGGATGGTGTGGGTCAACAGTAGAATTGGGTCCCAAAAATTGGATAGATCTTGCTAAGGCCGACTTCTGTATTCATATTGCAAACACTCCCAAAATGCAGACAGAATCTCCAGTGAATACGGGAATCCATGGACCATCCCCTCCGTTGTGCTTTAGCTTAGGTAGGGGACTTGTGCGTCCTGAACCGTAACACCCTGAAACCCTGAACCCTGAAAACCCTAGAACAATCTGTTGAATCGGCTTGCTTCCACTGAGGCATCCATCTCTGTGTGGCGAACGGTCGAGCAGCAAGGCCAGGCCAAGGTGTAAGTTGTTCACCAGTTTTTCCTGTTTGTGTCCATAGAATGGAGAGGTTTGATTCCAGAGCGATATCGTTCTCCATTGCTGGGACAAGCATTGAAACATCTTCATGAAACCTCTTCAAATTGGAGGCTCAAAGTAGAAGAGAAGGAGAAGAGTGGCGTGCAATTAAAATTGATGTGTCAAATCATGCAGCATTTTATCATATGTTATCTATGTTTGTTCGTAGCTTCAGGTGATGTGAGTCTAGTTGCAAGCGTCCAGCTGAATAGAACGATCATGGCATACCAAAGTTTGGTCTTTGGGTGTGGGTCAACATGCCAAAAGTAAAGAGCCAATTGGGCGATCAGAGTCAAAAGGCGGTGTATCAGGATTTTGACCGCATGGGTGCGGCAGGCATCCTGAAGTTAGAGTGCATCACTGTCCTCAGTGGTCACGAGAACGAAGTAAAGTGCGGAGCTTGGGGTTGTTTGTGCAGAATAAGATTCATGTACAAAATAATGCGCCCCTCAATGATCATTCAGTTCTGCCAGTTTGCGAGTGTTTGCATATCCAGTTGTTCCCACTCACTGGTTGTTCATATCCCACTTCGCTTGCATCACAAGATCTTGCATTTGCATTGATTCGGTATTCTTGTGACATGCAAAGGCTCCTTGTTCCCTTCCAAGTTCAGTTCCAGGACTCCAGGACTCAAAAGTCCCCAGATCACTCAGCACCGTTTGGCCCAGGTCAGCTGCATTTAGTTCTTCTGACAAGTTCTTTGCATCGTGCAGTCGTAGGGATCTGAGAAAGCTTGTGCCGCTACTACGCAAGCTCGCCGGTAGATTCAATCAACTCCATGTCATTCTGCTGTCATTTGGTTCAGGTGACCGTTCTGCCTGGCTGGCATTGTTTGGGACAAGACTACGTGCAGATGTTTGTATGCTTGCTTGATCAATTAGCTATACCGGAATCACAATTTGTCAGGCCAGCGGCCAGCCCTTGCAAACATGGAAAGGAAGAAACCGTATCAGAAATCTATCACAAAGAAGAAACCAGCAATTTTGGAAGCTAATCTGGGAAAGATGCTGAACATACAGGAATGAGAGATGGAATGAGGGGGTTGGTTCTCAAATGTCTTCAACCATTGAAACATATTGGTAATGGAGGCATTCTCAGCTTTCGTATGAAAAAATGTATTTGCCAGATTTGGGTATACGATGCTGAAGATACGGATGAGTACGAGTGCGTGGCACTTTTGCAGTCTCATAGCCAGGACCCCTGGGGTCACCCATATTTTACAGATTTTACTGTTACACCTCAGATTCTTGTGAGAAAATGAGCACAAAACGTACAATAATTGGAGAACCAATAATTACCTCATATAGAACTGTGATGAAATATGATGATAATTGGGAACTGAAAATTGGGAGCCTTGAAAACTTTGACAGGATTCACCATCATTGCACGTGGGTGAATGAAGTACTATGAAGTATGAAGTACTGTGTTTGGGAGCATATTTGTCCTGTGTAATCCATTGGAAAAGCAAACACCAAGTCACAAAGTAGCAATGATGCTGATCGTCACAGG